TGTTTCTCTCTTTCCCTTTGCTCCATTTCAAATTGCCTTTCCCTTTCCTCCCTTCTTTCTCTCTCTAATCTTTCCTCCATTTCCGTCACCCTCAGTTCATGCTGTTGGGCTAGGATCAATTTTCTAAGTTCTGGGTTCTGCTCTCCTGTGCTGTCACCTTGCACTGAGCCAAATTCCTCCTCAGAACCTTGGTTAATCTGGGGGTCTTTCACTTCACTCATTTCGGCCATTTGGCTTCGAGTCAAGGGCATAATCCCCCCTCAGAACAGGCTGCTTTAAAAGTCAAGCCTCAAAATAAAACGACCACTTTTTTCCTTCTTGCCTCAGAACCAGCTCTCCTAGAGATTGCTGCTGTTCTTCAGCACTAAATTTGCAACAGTATCGAGTCAGAGCCTACCCCCCTCTGCTGGGCCTCTCAGCTGGCAAGCTAGCTCACTGTTGCTACGCAGTTTTGCCTCAGCGTTTTCCCGCCAAAATCAGGCTGCCTCAGAGCACCTTAATCTAAGTCTCCCCAGTTGGCACGTTCTTCTACTAGTGCACCTCCCCGTGAGGTACACCTAGAAGATTACCTACGCGCCTCAGACTGTCCCTGACTAGACCCCCCTTGCTCTGGGCACACTTGCCAAGGCTTTGCTGGACCACTGGACAACTGGACCAGTCGTATCCCACACGCTGGACACCAATCAATGTGACAAACCCAGACCTACTGGGATCTATCACACAGTTACTAAGCTGCCACCAACCATTCCCTATAATAAGTCACACAGACCAGGGATGGATTTTTAAACAACAAAAAGAATAAAGTTTATTTTAAATACACACAGGGAAAAATAAGCAATCAGGTGAATAACATAAGGTAACGTGGCTTATTCTCACACACACAAGCATACAGTTTGGTTCACCTAGAACCTTTAACTTAAAGCACAGACCCTGAACCTATCAGTTCTGGCTAACCCACAGACACCTGAACCTATCAGGTTGGTACTCTGACACACAGTAGTACCCTGTCAGACACCCAGACTCCCACAACAGCTTCTTCTTCCCCAGCTGCTGCTTCGTCCCAACCCAGTGTCTCACAGTTTGTCCCAGCATCTCCTCTTCACCACACAGGCATCACATATTTATACAGTACAGCCCCTCCTCCTGATGTCCCGCCTTCCACTCCCCATAGGATGGAACTTTCCCTCCAAACCCATGACAGACAGGTAACATCAGTGCTGTTATGTAACATTCGGGACCTCAGGTTCTGCTTCTGTTTTCTTCAACGAGACTTCCAAAATCCACCCGCAGGAGCCCGGCGGGGAAAGCATTGAAATTTAGAATAAAAATTGAATCTGAGGCCCAGAATGGAGTGGACCTCACAGGCTTTTTTTTGCCAGAGAGTCAGAGAGGGTTGTGGAGATGAGAAGGTGGAACTTGAGGGGATGGGAAAAAAGATGGCATATAAACACACCAAATAATGGGTCAATAAACCCGAGTCAATGCACTGTGAAGAACCCAGGGACCTGACACCTCCTCATCTTCTTTCTGTGCTTAAAATTGTGTTGTTGGGCCTATTCAAATTTCTTTTAAAAAAGGTAACCCTTTCTGGGCCAAAGTGCCATGAATGATCTCAAACAAAGGTTAAGAACCACTGCCCTAGAGCATTTCTCGGCCAAAGTGCCATGAATGATCTCATGAGATATTATGAGACAGCCAGGCTGGGTCTTCTTAAATTCACGGCGTCTGTGCCAAGCCTGCTGATCAGGAAAAGAGAGATGAACTGTGAGGAGCGTTTCATGCCATCCTCTCTTCCTGCTGAGAAACCTCCTCTGACCAATTTCATCCATATTCACTAGAAACTGGGTAATGACTGCCTTTCTGCTTTTCATTTGTGCTAATTCATTTAAATGCATGCAGGTCTAAAATTAACCTTTGGGCTTACCATAGCTGCGTCACCCTCGCCTTGATGTCTCAGCTAATTTGCCCCGCGTTCAGACAGGCTGTGCTAATCATGCAAATGCCATAGGTTAGGCTGAATTTCCCCAACACACACACACAGAGAGCAGAGACCCACAACGGGTATGTGCATTACAAGGTGTGAAGAAGACTTTGGGGCAACTTCTTTGTCTCGTCCCCATTTGTCTTTGCTTGATCTGGCTGAAGCAAGGGCCCCATAAAAGACCTATGTGAGGGGACACGATTTTGAAATACAGTCTGTCCACAGCGACTTGGTTTTGTTTTATGAAAGGCCGCGGCCCCTTTCCGCACAATCTCTTTTTGCCTCCCTTGATGTTGGCTTGTGGAGGCGGTTAGCGACCAGAAAAGATGTCCACCTCTGAGGGGGACCGGTCTCCAAGCATCTCTCTGTCCCCTCTCCTTTTTAATTCACTTTCCTTTGGTGGACTGAAAATTTGGCCCTTTGGTTTCCAGAACGGAGCATGACTCTTACTCCTCCATTGGTTCCCCATATCCCCCCCCCATCTGTCTGGAGGTCAGAGGCCGCCTTGCCCCGTCCTCCTTTTCCTTCCCCTCCTGGTCCATCCTGCCCCACCGCCACCCCTCCTGGCGCCCAGGGTTCAGAGGGCGAGGCAGTGGCTGGCTGGACTTCTGACCCCCACCTGGAGGCAAGGGTTCCCCTCCGTGGGTCAGGCCTTCCTGCAGGCTGCATTCATGCTCAGGTGAGTGAAAGTGCCAGAAATTCATCACATTTCAAGATGTTTATTCTTTGGCTTTCTAGGATGCCCTTCCTGGCATGATGTGGGAACTGGAACAGCAGCTGGGGTTACTGCGATTGTACCCAGAAAAGACCTGCGGGGAGGTGGCTGAGACTGATAGCTGGCCCAGTTCAGGTAAGCAGAAGGGAACCAAACTAGGCGTTGGTGAGGCTGGTCACTGTGTTGTCCAAAATACAGTGGTGCCTCGCTTAACGGGCACTCCGCTTAGCGACGAAATTACTTAGAGATGACTTTTTCGGAGCGTTTTTGCGCTTCATTTAGCGATGGTCCCTATGGTCGATTTTCACTTAGTTGCTTCGCATAGCGATTAAATTTCGGGTCCCCTGTTTCGCTTAACAACGGTTTAAACAGCCTCATGTTTGCTTTTTTTTACATGTTTTTCTGTTATTTATAAAGTTAAAGTTTACTGCTTAAATTGTTTGAAATCATAAAGTACACTTAATAAACCCTTTGTTAACCAAATTTGACTTTGTTCTGACTCTTTTTTAATTTGTTGTATTTTCCCCCCCATTGAGAAGGTTTCAATGCATTTCAATTGGGGAACCGCCTTTCGCTTAGCGATGTTTCCTATGGCGATTTTCGCTTAAGGACGGCAATTTGTTCCTATTGGAACGGATTATCCGGTTTTCAATGCATTTCAATGGGAAACTGCATTTCGCTTAGCGATGAAATAGCTTTGCAGCTATTTTTTCAGAACGAATTAACCGCTAAGCGAGGCACCACTGTACATCCTTTCTCAATTGTTTCTGCTCAGCATAATATTTGATTCTACCCTCTGGCCTGCTCCTTCTTCCTCTGGAAAGCTAGGTATCATCAATGGGAGCTTAAAAACAAACAAACAATAATAATTGTATGTCATTGAGTCCATGTTGAGTTATGGAGACCCTCTTCAGGATTTTTCTGGGTAGAGAGGTCCCCAGAGATGTTTTGCCATTTCCTTCTTCCGGGTGCACTTTTGCCCCCATGCAGCTTGCCCAAGGCCACCCAGGATGGCTCTTTTGGGGTGCACAGGGAGGAATTGAATTCTCAATCTCTGCTTCCACATCTAAAGACTTAGATCACTACAATTCCCCAAATCCCCCATGCTGGCGGGGTGTGTGTGTGTTCCGGGAACTTTCATGCAGAAAACGTGGGTTTCCCCCCAAAAGGTGGGAAGCAGAGGTGGGAAACCTCTTTGCCGAGCCGGGCGATGGAGGGTGGGCAAAATTCAAAGAGTAACCTCAGGTGCCCCTTCTCCCCTTTAGGTTTCTACGAAGGGCCTCAGTCGGTGGTGGCCTCTGATTCCCCAGCGTCCGGGTTTGGGGACTCGATGTGCAGCTTCCCGTCGGCCTCGGGCTCCTACTCCCGGATCGGCCGCCCCGAGTCTCGCCTGGGCTTTGCCAGTGAGCGTCCCAAGTCTGTAGGTGAGTAAGTGGGAGGGGGAAGGAATCAGATGTGTCATGGAGGCGATCCACGTGGAAGCCTAGGTGGCCTTCGTGTGACAAGGGAGGGGGAGCTACACGGGTTGCTGCACTGCAGATGATCACGGGCACCCTCGGATCTGCTGATCTCTTCCTTGGGTAGAGGTCTTCTTTGCTGTCCTTCTCTCGTTTAAGCAAAACTGCCCACTTGGAGAGAAGTAAGGGAGATACCTTACAGGAAACTTCCTCTCGGGGGCCGGACTCTGTCGGTGGAGGGTCTGGTGATTCCACCAGGTGGGACCCTTCTTCCAGCCTCGATAGACTTGGTCCCAGGTAGCCCAAGGTGGAAGCCGACTGCTCTACAAAAGCTGCAGCCGGTACTTTGGCTACACCTCCTCCAACACCCCCCCCCAAACACACACACTTTTCTCTCCACTCCTGGGTGCTTAGAGTCCTGTCGGGCCTGGATGATGACTGGGACCTCTTGCCTGATGATTCTTTCTCTCCCTCTCCCTCTCCGCTTCTTCCTGGGGTTCTCCTGTTGCAGGCGAGGTGACCAACAGCGGCAAAGACGGCGCCCGTCGGAGCACCGTCCCCCGCTCCTTCTCCGCCCCTTACTCCAGCAGCTCCCAGGACTACTCCGCTGAGCCGTTGTCCACGCGTTACCCGCCGGACCCTTTCCTCTACCCCAGCCCCCTCCACGCCGTGGCCCTCCAGAACCCCTTGATCCGGAGCCACCTGTACGAAGACCCCGCTTTCTCCTCCGACCCGTCTCCGGCGTTGGCCTACCCCGCCGACCCGGAGGGCGGCCTGGAGGCCTACGGAGACGAGTTCCAGTTCTACTCGGAGGCAGCCTCGCACTGCCACAAGGTGGAGAACTACATCTCGCGCCTCATCCGCCGGCGCAGCCAGCTCCTGAGGGGCAGCAAACCCCGGACTAGCTTGGGCTCGGAGGCCCCTTCTTCCAAAGGCGGCGGCGGGGCGGTCGGCCGGCAGAACAGCCTCTGCAAGAGGCCCTCGGAGCTGCTCCCCCCTCCGGGGGACCGCAAGCACCCGCCGTCCATGGAAAGAGGAAGCAGCACCCCTTCGCCCTGCGGCCACGAGGGCGGCGCCTCCGCGGCCGCCACACGCATCTGGTCCTCGTGGGATGCGGCGGCAGAGAGGACCCTGGCGGCGAAAGCCATCGCGGCTGAGGGCAGCAGCCCTCCCCCTTCGGGTTTCAAGAAGCCCCCCAAGCTTCAGGCCCTGGCGGCTCGGAGGCCCCCTTCGGTGGACCAGTACGAAGCGGTGTACCCATCATCCCCTCTCCTGGACAGAGAGGAGGACCCCTCCCAGGGGAATGGCCAGGAGACGGTTCCTTATGAGACCGAGGAGGGGACTTGTCTACTGGTCAAGGCCCAGTACATCCCAGCTCAGCATCTGCCCCGGGCCCAGCAGGCTCACCGGCCCGGCAAGAAGAAGCCCCCTCCTCTCGCCAAGGGCCGCTCGGTGGAACTGTCCCCGGAACGGACCCCTCTCCTCCTGAGGGAACAGCGGCCACCGCGGGTTTCGGCAGCCACCAAAAAATGCCGCTTCACCGAAGATGGCGGCGAGGCGGCGGGCCGGAAGGGGTCGGGGAGGAAAAGCTCACCCCGGTCCAGGAAGGCGGCTCGCTCTCAGTCGGAGAACAGCCTCCTCAACAAACCCGGGGCCAAATACGGGACGGCGGAAAGGGAGGAAGCGGCCCTGAAGCCCTCCCGGCCGAGGCGGCCCCACGGCCACGCGGGCAGCGGCTACCGCAAGTGGCGCTCCACGGCCGAGATCTGCCAGGAGGAGCCCTCCCCGGGGAGCGTGGCCGAGCCACGCCGGAGCCCCCAGGGGGCCAGCCCCGTGGGGTACACCTATCCTGGCAGTGACTCCGAGTGCTCGGCCGAACAGGCCCGCCAAGCCCCCATGTGCCGCCTGGAGGAAGGGCTGGCCTACGGCGAGAGCGAATCCAGCCTCAGCGACGGCGACTCTCCGCCTGCCTACAGCAGCGGGGCCTCCAGCGACACGGACGAGAGCGGGGGCCTGGTGTGGCCCCAGCAACTCTCCCCGCAGCTGGTGTCGGCCTCCGGGCCGGGCAAGGCGGTCGGCGGGCAGCCCAAGGTCTTTGTGAAAATCAAGGCCTCACACGCCCTGAAGAAGAAAATCATGCGCTTCCGTTCGGGTTCCCTCAAAGTCATGACGACCGTGTGAGGTCCCGTCGTCTCCCGCCCCCCCCCGGTCTCTGTGCTGTACCCCTCTCTTTTGTGGCTGAAGTGTCCGCCTTAAATGCGCCCCTCGTCTCTCCTCCCTAGTTCCCATCGTCCAGTTTGGCTTCAAACTGGGATTTCTCTCGCTTCAAGGCTAAAATGGAAGAAAATGAAAAACCACTCTGGAAAATAAAAAAAAAGCAAAATCTTGCTTGGAACAGAGTTTGGGATGCTGGCTGCCGTGCCCTGTGTTTCCCCCAGCTGCACGAAAAATTGCTGAGTCTCTCTGTCTCTTTTTCTCTCTCTGCCTCTTGCTCCCTTCCATCTCCTCGCCCCACCCGTCTTCTTTCTAACCCAGTCCATTTTTAAAAGAAAGTATTTATTATGGGTTTTGTACAGTTTTAACTTCTCAGGAGTCCAAGTTTTTGGTATAAAAGCTTTGGAGTCTAAATCCATGCTGCCAGTGTTGTATTTCTATATGGATATCCATTTTCTCTGTGTGTAAATAAAATTCTGTGTTTGTTTTTTTGTTTGGGGTGTTTTTGTTTTTTTGTTAGTTTGTTTATAATTTTGGACAGTTTTTTTTTTAAAAAAAAAGCTTTCCCAAGCTCTGCCCACAGTCAGAAAGTCTTGTCACAACAAGCGTGAACTTTGTTTCTTGGTTCCTTTGCTCCTGAGGAGGCAGTTTGGCTCATGTCTTCACTTGAGGAGGTAGACTGAGTCTCTGTGGTCCCTAGCGCCCGACCTCTGCTTTGTGTTTCAGGGTTGCAAAAGTCTGCCGTTCTCATTTTATGTGTTAATTAAAGCCAGTACTAGCCAAATCCCAAAGCAGCCAAGTATGAACGGACTCTCTAGTTGAAGCACAGTGGCAGGGATCCAGAAATAAAGCATAGACAGCTTAAATGCTTTGTCCTTTCGGTTTTCTCTGAGACCTCGAGATGCACCTATTATTGTCTGTTGAGCCAGACTATGATTCTTTTTACGGAGCTGAAAAAGACTGGAGAGAGGAGGGAAAAAAATAGAGGACAAATTTTCACTGATCCTGCGGGCGCCATCATTGTAAGGTTTTTTGTTTTGTTTTAGAAACCTGCAAAGCCTGTTTAACCTCAGGCAATGATGAGAAGGATATGTAAAGGCAAGCATCTCTGTAGTCTTGGTTTGCACAAAACTAAAAAGGTTTGTGTTCTTTTCTCCAGGACCGGCAGATAAAAGAGTTGTAATAGAGGGCATGGAAAGACAGGGAAGGAGAGAGAGCGAGAGAGCATAAGCCTCTGAATTTTCTTCAAGGAGAAATAAGCATAACTTGCCTTTAACTTTTCTTTTTATCTTGAACAAAGACATGGTAACAGTGGCCATTTTCTGGGAGTTGTCTTGCAAGCGTGTAATTGATCCAGGCTGTGCAAATACAGGTTGAAGGTTGACACTGTGAACCTTAAGACCCACTCTGGAAAAAAAAATTTGCAAGCTTAAAAATAATCATGTGGGAGAGACCTTTTCATGAGAAGGCCGGGGTGGGCCTAAATCCCACTCCAAGGTCATCTTGCGTCTCCTGGAACTTTTCCTGTAAGACCTTTAATGGGCTGTTCCTCACGATGAGGAACTCTGCACATGCTCAGGGCTCCCTCCTCCTGGATTCTAGAGCTGGGCAACGCTCAAGCCTTCTCCTCCAAAGCAAAACCAAAAGGTCTGATATTTGTGCTCTCCCTCCCGTTTCTACCTTAGGCAAAGGGTCAAAGAAACCAAAGCAAGACCAAAACATGGGGCCCCTTAAAGACGAACAAACGAACTGCTTTGCACAGACGAACACGGCTAGTCCTTCTAAAACTCCAGTTTCTAGACTTTTAGCCCAAACCGAGCAGCTCCGGAATGGCCCTGTGAAAGAAGAGCAGCTACTCAACTGTTGAGTCCATTTATCGTTCAGCCCTGAAAGTGGAGGGGTTGCCTGGCTATCTGGATAAATCCCACCTGAAAAGAAACCAAAAGAAGGCACTCTCTCTCTCCTTGTCTGTCTTTTCTCTCCAAGCGCCAACAGCCGGCTTAGCACAGAGAGCTCCTTATGAAAACCAGATGTTCCTCCCTGTGCAGGCAGGAAAGAGGTTCTGCTTTCCAAATTCCATCCCCAGGAACGTAAGGCATGGCTCCCATCCCCCCCCCCAATCCTTCCACCCCGATAGAGGGAGAGGCTGGGCTGGAGGGCCCCTTCCTCCTTCCTGCCTCCTTCGTTCCCCCCCCCAAAGCGATCCTGGCTCAGCTAAAATATTACAATGGGTTTTTTTAAAAAGGGAACAGTCACCTGCCCGAAAGAGAACAGGAGCAGATGAAAGACAGCACAGGGGCCTTTTCGGCCAGACGTCTCCATCACTAAGGGCATCTTCTTCCCAGACCCGGCCCCGCTGTTGAACAGAGTGAGGCAGCTGCCCTGGGCAGCAGCTTATGGGGGCCAGGAATGGGCAGCCGGTTCTCTGCTGTTTATTTGTACGATTTATTCATGTTATATATTGGACTCAAGGAGAGATTCGTCAAAGAATCCTGGCCTTCGGTGCCCAGATAAATCAGCTGGAGGTGTGCCAGCCCTAAACTGCCATCAGCAGTGCTAATTAGCCAGCATTAGCTGAGCATTGCAGAGTGAACAGTACAGAAGGACCCCCCTGTCCACGGGATCAATATCCACCGAGTCTCGTACCTAAGAGTTGGATAGTTTGCCTAGAATCGGTGCATTTTGAATTCCTTTCTCACTGAGCCAGGGCGACTGGCCAAAATCCTCTTGTGTCGTTACACCGGTACAATGCAAACAGTGTAACGTTTGGAAGTGAATTGACTCAAGTTGAGAAATTTCTGTAGATGTTCACAGCAGACCGCGCAGAGCCGGAAGTGAGGAACTGTGGAGGATGAAGTCCAGAAGCGTGGAGGGTAGCCATTGCTCCCTCCCAACTAAAGAGACTGGTAGTACTCTGTTCTCTAATTGCCTGTGTGTCCTGAAGGGAGAAAAGGGGCTTAGCACAGGACATGAGCTCTCCCAGAAATGCAACTGGCGATTCCTTCTGTTGCCTCTCTGCATGAGCCCCGGGGAACGAATGGTCCAATGGCAGCTGGTATAGAGACCCACGTACTTTGTTAGAAAGGATCAAGGTCGGATCAGTCCATCACGCAGGGGTGCGCCAGAGCGCCTCCTCCTCTCAGAGTGAGCAGACTGGAGTTTTGATCTGCTGACGTTGGCTGGCACACACAGGCTGGCATCTGCACTGACCAAGCCAGGGCAGGGGCAGGGGGGGGGACAGGGAGGGTCTTTCTCAAATAAAGCACGTATCTAATTGGGATCAACATGAGTACCTGGAAACCTGAGCACAAGGAAGGGTGTGGGATGAGAGAGACCCCAGCTATTGCTTGATTTTAAGGGAATTTGGGATTGGATACATGAACCCCACTCCCTGCCCCCTCACCCTAAAAGATAACATGATCTCCACACCATGACAATTTGCTGGTCTCTCTCTCTCTCTCTTTCTGTGCTATCTGTCTGCATCAAGCATTATCCTTTTAAACATAAACCCTGGCTGAATTTATGAGGCTATTTCAAGGGCTTGATGGAAGCAAGGAGAGAGGGAACCAGCTTACAGCTATTAGTTTATTCCCTTTCTCCTCAATAGCTCAGGAAAAGTTTTGTAGATTCGTGCTTTGCTTTAGTGTTTTAAGGTTTGCCGGCTGGTCTGATTTCCTCACGCTGTCTCCGCTGACTTTGCTCAGGTTTCTTGAGAATTCCTCCTCCAGGGTTACAATTTAGAATATGGTGGAGGGTAAGATAATATTTCATGTGTGTTGGGGATTTTGAATTCTGCAATGCTCTGACAGGAAGGAAGGAAGGAAGAAGTTGAAACAGAACCTTTCCCCCAGCCTTTAGGATTAGCAGAGTAGAAATTCAAGTGTATCAGTCTGGGAGAAAGACTTGTGTTCAGATTTGAGAATCGTAAGTGTCAGAAGGATCTTTAGAAAGTCGAGGAGGCCTTGCCTAGGGTGTATCTGTTTGGGCCTGAATTTCTTTCCCTGGGTGTGATCTTCCACCATAGTTTCTAGATGGGCTCACTTGCTTGAGTCATGGACTGTGCTGGTTACCAACCGATTTTCACTTGCCTATCCCTGGACCAACCTACTTCCAGAAACTCTACCTGTCAGATTAGCAAAATGTTTGCAATTAGTATGCGGTTGCTGTTATTTCAAATTTCTGTGTTGTGACTGTAAATAAATAGGCCAATCATGGGGTTAAAAAGCAATGGAAGAGCAAAGAACAGACCATGCATACGTATGCTCATAACTCAGAAGGTATGATGAATTCAAGGAAATACATTGCAGAAAACTCGGAAGGACTCACTCACTGAGCATGGCTGACAGGACTGACTGAGATGCCCACTTCTACAGACACCGGTATGTACCAGCGTGGCAGACCTCCAGCATTGGCAAAGCGGAGGAAAGCTGTGGGGACGGCACCACCAAGCACGCATGCCGTAGTTGCGTGTTCACAATACATTTGTTTCGAGAGGGGCTTCCCCATCATTCACCAAAATAACCAAGCAAGGGGACGGGACTTTTTTCTAGGTTAAATAATGAAAGAAACCCAATCCGCCACTCGTAAGGTTCAATTAATTTTGCAACTTTCAACTTGTATCTTATAGAATCCTAGAATCATGGCGTTGGAAGGGACCTCTTAAGGCCATCAAGTCTGCTCAGTGCAAGAATCCAAATCAAAGCAGATCTGACAGAAGGTGGTCCAATTTCCTCTTGAATGCCTCCAGCTTTGGAGAGCTGTTGACGTATGCCATGACTCAATGTATTTGTTTATTTTTGTGTTTGAGCCTCTCCGTGTCCTGGGCCTGGCTCATTCATACCTCTGGGGTTTGCATACCCCAGGTTGGGAATCTCTGATCTACAGGGACAACGGGGGTCTCTCCACCCTTTGGGTGGCCCTGTTCCTGTTTTGTTTTGTTTTTGTTTTTTGCGTTAGGCACCTACTGGGTGATTTTCGCCTGAGCTTATAGCTCTGTTGCGGAGAGTTGTGGAACACGAGGGAAAGTTTTCATGCTCGCACACACACACATACATGCACAGACGACTCACACGAGCCGGATGGCACCCAGCGTAGGTTAAAGTACTCATCTTTTCTGCCCACGATTTCCAGCTCCATCAGGAGTGTCACCATGGCGACGGCACCAGCCAGTTCTGATGCCGGAAGTGTGAGACGAAAAAAAGAGGAGCATCTCTCGGTTCCTCAGAGCTGAGCAATGGAGATGTTTGGGGAAAGGGAATTCAGGGCAGACAGGAACGCAGGGAGGGAGGGAGGGAGGGAGAAAAAGCTCATGGTTTTTAACCCTAGATCCAGCCCTCCTCCCTGCCATTCCCTTCCTGAGTAGCCACATTTGTGTTCTTGTGGCCTCATCACTCCCCGCAATGCCTTATCATCAAGGAAATTGAGCAGGGCTACCTTAGAGGGCTGTTGGAAGGAAGACAGAGGTCATGTCTGTGAAGCCCTTTGTCCAAAGTACGGCACGGCCCACACGAAGCAGGACTGAACCTTTTCGGGCAGGAGCAACAAAACTGGAGGTTGGAATAGCCATGCATGCCTTTGAGGGAAAACAAACAAACAATCGCATTGCTGAGAGCAAGCAGGAGCGTTGGGATATGAGGACCGCCTGTAGGGCTTTGAAAGGTTAGTTTTTCAAGACAACAACTCCCAGCCTAGTTAGGAGAATGCTGGAAGATGGGAGTCCAAAATTTAAATAAAACTGATTTTTTCCAAGCTCTGGAAAAAGCGGGCCTGTTTCCTTTTGAATGGGACGGAGCTGTGGGGCTCCTTGAACAGCCCCCGACAGTCTGTCTGGTTGATTCAGCTCACCCGTCCCTAGGCTTGCCACGGACCAACCCTTGGACTCTCGTTTCATTCCTGGGCCTATTTAAAGCACCCCCACCCTCCCCTGCTTTTCCTCTCCCTTCCTGTAGTCCTGCTGCCTCCAGATCACAGTTTCTCCTGCCCCTCCTCTCCCAAATTGCCTTGAATCTCTCTCTCTCTCTCTCTCTCTCTCTCTCTCACACACACACACACACACACAGAGAGAGAGAGAGCCGTCTGCCCCTCTGCGAGTGTCTGGAATACCTCTCTGATCTCTTCCAGACACTGGCCGGAGATTATTTTTTTTAGAAAACCCCTCCTGGGGTTAATTTTAGCCCCTCTGACATCCTTATCGCAGCTGCTGCCACTTAAGAGCTGGGGAAATAACAGTCCGGAGGTGACTACCTCTTGCGTGTGTGTGCTTTTGTGTGTGTGTGTGCGTGAGTGTTGTTCGGTGAGCATGCATGACATCAGGTCAAAGGAACTGGAGTCCCATCTGGATTCAATCAGATGCCACATTGCTGAGCCAACAAAGGAACTAACAATAAAGGAACTAAAGAGGCACGCAGGCAGATTACGGGGTTCTCATCTAACCAGTTGCTTCCCCCCCCCAAAATGGAGGGGGGGCTGTCTTAGGAGTCAGAAATGAATCCACTCTCTCCCACTCCACCCTGCTCCCCTCAAATGCAAGAGGCATCTCTGGAGGTGACCGGGCGCTGCTGCGAAGGCCTGGGGTCTGTGCATTATGAAATGGTCCAGGCTACCGAGGAATTGCAAAAGTGCAGGACAAGCCTGGCAAAGGTCAGAATCCAGGATCCATCCCAGGTAGGTCCTAGAAGCCCATACGAAAACACACATGCATCAGTCCCTAAGCTAAATCTGAACACATTACTAGGCAATAGACCCGGAAACTATAGCTCCTTCAGCATTCAGGAAAGTTTTGAGGTTTTTTCTAGTTCTTCCCTCCTTTGCCAACTTTGTAATTCTCAACCCAATAAGTCATCCCGGGTGACTCAAAAACTCTAATCTCTTATGACATTTTGATGGCCCTATAAAAGCATCGCCTGACCCAGATTCAGTTAGAAGACCACACCAGCAGAACCCGGAAAATGGACGATCTGTCTCCTTTGAGACGAGGCAAAGATCCTCACCTGTTAGAGGTAGAGATAGCGAAGCTACTTATCCAGGTAGAATTCAGAACGGCAGAGCTGGAAGGGACCCCCCAGGATCATCCAGTCCAGCCCCTGCCAAGGAGGCCCAATGGGGGGAATCGAACACCCAACGTCTGGCTCCACATCAAGAGACCTAAGTCACGGAGCTATCCAGTCAGCCCATGAAAGTATTATTCAACTTTATATCCTTGTTATCCCCCCCCCTCTGAAAAAAAATTAAAGCAAAACTGGTGGGCTTCATGCCATTTTAACTTACATTAATTTCTCTGGGAAAGAGAAGGTATGAACTGGACAATAATCGCCCAGAATTTTTGTGGGGAAGCAGGGTTAAAACCCAACCTTCTTCAGTCCAGTGTTAATACCCTCGTGGTGACTTCACTCTGGTTCTTCCCAGGTACAGCGCTTGTCAATTTATACATCATCATAATGAAAATCATCCAGGCCCAATATAAGCCCTTGGTGTGTTTATAAATTTTAAAGAGAAAGATGTAAATTTTGACCATTCCAAACCACAATTCGGGCTCCGAATTTGGGAGCAGGCAGCAAATTTCAGACGCCAAGGAGAAACATGACGTTTGTAAGGTCTCTGCTGAGATACATTTCTGGAAATAAAATATTTTAATTTTGTGTGTGTGTGTGTGTGTTGGTGCTCTCCATGGTTTAATTTTCTTGCTTAAAGCGCCTCCCTGTGGAGGTGAGGTAGCACTGCACCCAAAAATACATGAAAAGAGAGGATGCTCTTTGCTTCCAGCCGGATAGCGCTTTCGTCTGTCACCCTCTAAAAGCATCTGTGGTTTCCCACTTGCCATCAGCATCATTCCCACAAAGGACCTGTCCTTTCACCCAGGGTTGGGTTGCATGGAGGGAACGAAAGCAAGCTTTCCTTTTATTTTCTTTATTTATTCTTCACTCTGTTTTCCTGTCTTGTAAATTCTTGTGTTATTTTTATTAGTTGCTTTATATTGTATTGGACTCCGCCTAGAGTGGTCGCAAGACCAGATAGGCGGGGTACAAATAAAATAAATTTAAAATAATAATAATAAATAAAATAAAAGCCCTCTGCAGTTTGTCTGAGAAGTTAGGCAGGCCTTTTTGCTAGCCCTGAAAAAGTCCAGGATTGTTCTGCTCTTCCAAGGCGGTCTCAATCTCCTTCTGCTAGCAAAATCCATGTTGCATCCCCAGAAATGTTTGACAGGAGCGAGGCTCCTCCGCACACATCTAGAGGGAGAGGGAAATGCCACCTAGCCATCCACAAAGGCACACATTTTGCGGAAGTCCGAAGGGCCACGAGTGGAGGGCCCTGATTCTGTTCATCGCCTTGCCTTCATCCAGGTCAAAATACCGCGAAATACTGCCTTAAAGTCCTAGGGAGGCAAAGCTGCCAGTTCGAGCTGGCAAGATCCAGGTTACATGAAGGGTGAACAGAGTATGTCTCTCCAGATGTTGTGGGCTGTTGGAGTTTTATTGAGAACCTTACGTGTTATCTGTACTTTGAGCGTCTAGGAGCAATTCTTCCTTCTGGCTTTTGAAATGCAAAGAGATCTCCACCTCTCTACTGAGTGTTCTATCCCTCTCTTTCATCGTTTGGTGGCAGTTGTTTGTTGCTGTTGATCTCTTCAGTTGGTTGCTAATATGTGTCTTGTAAAAAAACAACACAGTATACAGAAGTCTGTAATATCAAGCGACCATAAGTAAATATTATATTGTTATTGTTATTGTTATTGTTATTGTTATTGTTATTGTTATTGTTATTGTTATTGTTATTGTTATTGTTATTGTTATTGTTATTATTTCTCCTACAAATGTCTCAGAGTGAGTTATTGAGATTTTAAGTAGCCATGGGAAAGGGCAAGTGGAACTTGTACCTATTATCCTCTGTGGATACCTGTGCTTCTACTGTGTAGCAAAAAAGAGAATTTTACCAGAAATTTAAAACGCTGCAGTGTGGACTGAATGCCTCTCCCCTTGGCTTGGGTTCCTGTGGAACGGGAGGGTGAGCACATCTGGAGCGTCCTGCTTTGCCCACCCCGAGCTAGACGGTCTGCCTTGGTGTAAAGTAGATTCCTTTCTTTGTGAATCAGGGCTTTGGGGGGGGGCAAAAGAAGGTGGTTCCTGCTCTCCCCTCCCTCGGTCGCCCGGCATCCCTGTTGATGCCCTCAAGTGGCAACGGGCAAAGCAGCAGCAGACAAGGAGAGCAGCCGTCGGCAACAGGTAGGAGGGGAAAATCTTCATTCTCTTTCCTTGTTGGGTTTGGAGCTGGGTTAGATGCTGCTTCTTGAGATGGTTTGGGGCATGTAAACATGGACTTATGGCATCTGGTCACAAGGAGATCCAACTAGTAGCCAGCCAGCGTTTCCGAGTCGCCCCGAAGCTAGGAAGAGAAGGGAGGTGCATTTACCATTTATTTCTCCATTCGCTTTTACTCAGAGCAAGGAAAACCCCTCTGGAGTCTTTCCTGCCCCTTCTGTGATTTTGTCTAATATTTATTTTAACTCTTAATTCTTTTAACTTGACACTCACGCCAACCTCAAGGGTTGAGAGCAGAAAAGGATATTTCCCTCTTTTGTTCTGCCCGCGAAGGAGCCCGAGTAACTTAGAAGGAAAATTCATGGTTTGTCAACTGTATGTGAGATCTTACAGAGAGGCCAAGATCGTTAGCAGTTAACACAACAGTTTTCATTAACAGTTTGGAAACGGTTAATGAGTGGTCAACAACTCATTTTCAACTAAAATTTTCCAGTTATGTGACTTTCCCCATTAGGAACCAAACCTGTTTGCCTTAGTTTGCTCCCTACAAGAAAGGAAGAATGTCTGTCGGTAAATGCAAAATAATATCAAAAAAGTTATGGGATCATCTTGTACGAAAGGCATTTGCTGAAAGCAAACCCTCTCAGGGTTATCAGTAAGTGAAACTCAAAATAAAAAGGGAAAGGTTTTTCTCCACCTTTGGGACAAGCAGATTTGAAAAAGCTGTCCTCTCTGCCACCTTCGGCTTCATCTGTTTTTCCAGGAGAGTCAGGGGACCCAGAAGATGATACAGGGGGGAAAAAAAGAAATAAATCTGTGTGTTCTTTTATACAATACAAGAACAAGAGCAGGTGATACACTCAATTGCACCACTATTTAAAAAAAAAATAGCTAGCTTTCGACTTGTTCTAATCTTCATCAGGCTGTGCCATCCCCTAGCCCCTCACGGTATCTATTTGAAGCACCTTATCCTCTTCCGCTTGGCTTGATGTCACCAGTTTGAACAGAGAGGAACAGAAGTGTGTATGTGGAGGGGGTACGACTCCCCAAAAGGCGAACGTTTTTTTTTTCCACTTGAAGGCGCTGCGTTCCTCTCTGCTCCTGGAGGTTGTTCGGCAGCAGTCTGAATACCATGCATCGTTTTCGAGAATCACACCCCACAATGTTTGCTTAGTGCAGTGATTCCCGAGCACGAGTATTTGTGGGATATAAGATACTGAATCCACTGATGAACTGGGCGCGGTTTCCCTGCCCAAAAAAGTTTGCATGTGGTGGGGTGATCTCTCTCCTTCTCTCTCCCCTCCCGGAGGACCATGGCCTCACTTTTTTTTTGATGTTTACCTGCTTATGTGCTGAGGAGAGGGACCATCTTGACCCTCGGCAGCAGCTGCCAAACCTTGGGCCCAGCTGGTGTGGGCTGGCACCGTGGCAGCTTCTCTGCTCCCCAGGGAGACTGGGACAAGCAGGGACAGGATCCATCACCTCCCAGTGCAAGCCACCCTTTGTGTGCCCGTGCATAGCTCCGAGCAAGCTCTGCACATGCTCAGAGGCCTTATGCTTTGCCTTTGCCTGCTCCTTGGCCCCCAACCCTACTTCCTATAGGCCACAAAATCCACATTTTCCCATCCGCCTTACTCCAAACCCCTCAAAGAGTAAAACCATTTGCCTGTTTGTCTTGAACGCAACACTCTTTCCACCCTCCGCCTGAGAACGGAAGTAGGTGCCCCCAGTTTCTGCTGGAGCGGCAAAACAACTCTACGCGTACTCAGAGGCACTCTTGGCCTGCTCCCCCACCTCCTCGTTCTCAGCATTAAAAACAATTTCTAGTGGCTGTGGATCTATCAGCTTGCCTCCCATCCACAGCAAACCAACGGGTGGGGGGGGACTTGCTGTTTCGCTGCCCTTTCATCCTCTTATGCATCGAAGGACCTTTCCGTCTTCCTCCCAGGAGGGCCGGGTAATTAACCAACGGCTTTGGACATACTTGATGAGGGTCAGGGAGAGGATGAAAGGGGCCTAATTAAGTTGCATTTGCCCCCCTGCCACCCTGTTGCTCCCCCTGCGGTGTCACTCATTCTTTTTGCTCTTGGATCATGGCATCGTTTGAAGCTCCTCCCGAGGTTGCTCCATCCCACTGAAAGCTGTTCACCTCCTCTCCATCATCATCCCCAAGCTTTCCTTCTGTGTAATCCTTTTCCTTAAACTGTAGCTCTCCAAGCCAGGGGAATTGGGGGTGGGAGGGTTGGGATGGAGAAGGAAAGCAAAACTGAATGGAGAACTTTTAATTAAGCATTAAGGGGGGAAAAAGCAACACAGTGAATAATTTGACATCTGTTTGTTTAGGAGAGAAGCTCCGACGGGACTTGGCAGAGTTGCTTATGAGCTTTGGAGTAGCCAGATTCTTCGCTGAGCATCACAGCATCACCCGCCTCTGGCGTAAGTGGTAAAGAAGGTCGTTGATGTTCCTGGTATTTATTTTGGCTGATTAACTGAAGAAGGCCACCTTTCCCAGACAACCAGGTGAGAACCAGCTTTTTTAGAAAGCAACTTTCCCTGATCAGCCTCACCATGTTACGTAACTTAGCAGGGTTTGATGGAAACCCATCATTCTAGAGCCAGAGAGTAACCCTCAGATCATCTAGCCCCTTCTTTTCACCCACGCAGGAACCCGCAGAAGATGGGCCTCGAACGATGGCCTGATAACTTCCAGTGGAGGAAAGGCCATCATCTTTTGAAGGCAGTTCCATGTCATCATCTCCTTTCTTGTAGGTTTATTGCATCGCTTTGAGCCCTAACCTCTGGAACAGCGCAGAGGAGGTACTCCATAGTTAGGTGGCAGCCCTCTGGATCCTGGATAGCTCAGTGGTTTAGCTCTTGGTTGAGAGTTCGATTCCCCGCTGTGCCTTTTTATTTGCTTGAGGATCCCCCTTTGACCCAAGACTTTTATTTATTTATTTTATTTATTTAGCTTATATGCTGCCCACTCTACCCAAAGGTCTCTGGGCTTTTTGAAGGAGCTGGACTTGATGAGCCATAGGGAACCTTCCAGCAATGCAGTTCTAAGATAAAGATGGTGATGATGATGGTCCTTAATGGGCTGCTGGACAGCGCAGTGGTTAAGGCCCCTGGCTGCAGGGTCAGAGGCTGGGAGTTCAATTCCCCCTTGCTGCCTCCTTGACAGGGGCTAGATTCAATGATTCAGAGGATCCCTTCCAGCTCTGCGGTTCTAAGATGATTATTATATTGGCGAGTGGCTTAATCATATCGCAACTCAATCTTCTTTTCTCCAGGTAAAATATCTCTGGCTCCATCAACCGCTCCTCCAAGAGCTTGCTTTCCAGACCCTTCATCATCACCCTGGTCGTCATCCTCCAGACGGGTTTCAGCTTGTCAATATCCTTCTGAAAGGAGGGTGCCCAGAATTGGACAGAATCTTCCAGGTGAGCGGCGATCAAAGCAAAAGAGCATGCTGGCTGGGGATTCTGGGGTTTGTAGTCCAAACAAGTTGTGTTTCCAGCTTTCATCTGGTTGGCTGCCACTGAAAGCAAAATGGGCTTGATAGCCAGCACACCCATCCTTACGCTTGTTTGTGTGTCGTTTGAAGGGCGGGTGATGGCTGGGTCTTGTTACACGGAAATAACTCAGTTGTATGAACATAGCTGTCATCGTGGAGGTGACTCTGGTTCGGAGGTCAGTCGCTCACTCTGAACAAATTGCCTCCTTGTCTCTCTGTCAGTCTCTTAACAGCAAGCCCGAGACCGCCTGGCAGGGGGGGAACCATGTCGAACAACATGGCCAAGATTGCAGAGGCCCGTAAGACAGTGGAGCAGCTGAAACTGGAAGTCAACATCGACCGCATGAAGGTGCGTTTTTCCGGAGACACGGCCAGCTTTCCACCCCATCGAGAGGGAGGTGATCCCATTCAATTCTCATTGATGCCACGATCACAGTCTCCAAGGACTGCCCACTGTCGAATCCAGCAGAGCAGTCCAGCTTCAAAACGACAAAGGCGTGCCTGTTAGTTCTGCTTCTGGAGCCTCCCTCTTTTTTAAACTCTTTCTCTCTCTCTCCACGGCAGGTGTCCAAGGCAGCTGCTGATCTCCTCGCTTACTGTGAAGCCCACGCCAAGGAAGACCCTCTGGTGACCCCTGTCCCCTCTTCAGAAAACCCCTTTCGTGAGAAACGGCTTTTTTGCATCGTGCTCTAAGCCTGGGTGTGGGTGCGGAGGGCGCCACGGGCTCTTCCCCCTCCTTCCAGGCTGGGGTGCAACCGTTTTGCTTGCATCTTCATTTCAGAAGCCTCTCCCCCACCCCACCACCACTAAAATTAAACAACGGGGGAGAAATGTTGGTGTCAACAGGATGAAGAACAAGGTGTGTGTGTGTAACTAGCAGGGTGTGGGTGTGTAACTAAGGAAGAACTAACAGACAATGGACATCTGTCTGTTGGCTCTTCCTCCTATCCTTGGTGTGGTATCTATGTGACCTTAGCACAGATAAATTCTCATGTAGCCTTATCTCTTTGCAAACCTACCACTCTCTCTGTCTAAGTTCTAACTACTACATTTCTCATGATCCAAACTCCAAAAAGTTCTGGTTATCCTATAAAATATTCATTGCCCTGTGTAGTCATGGGAGCATCTCAGCTTTTCATTAATAAACAAGACAGTTACTAGTCCACATTGGTATTGAGTGCTCGCCTGCATATGTTATATTGTCCCCTGTTTTATTACTGTAGTAGCTGGAGGAACAAGCATGAGGAGGGGGATGTCCCCAGTCAACCCCTCCAGGAGCTATGCTTAGAAAAGGCATTCAACTTGCCTTTTCCTTAAATTGGTTGTTCCAATAAATGTGATCCTCTTTCTTTCCTTGTCTCTTGTTTTTTTTTTCCTGCAACGTTGCATCTGTGGGAATTGATCAAATTGCTTTGGGGTGTATCGGAGAAACAGGCTAACTCCTGGAAGATAGTAAGAAATGTCACAGCAGACTTACCTCTACTCCTGGGAAAAAGAGGGATGAATATTGCTGGAAAGATTTTTTTAAAAATGTTGAGTGCTTAAGTGGCTGTCTAGACAATTCTGGAGTTAAGACAATGCCCAATATCAGCTATAATGCTTTTTGTAATTCAAACCCAGCATTGGTAATACTTTTAGCAGACCACAAAACATCATCATAAACAAATAAAGTTTGAGTCCTGCAAGATACTTCATCAGGATGAGCACTGTGCAAAGTTCTGGAAGGGAGAGGGACAGAAAAATCCCAAAACTAACCTAGCTAGATGTTTGAAGCTTCAAGATGTGTTGTTAAATTTCTAAGACAGAGGTTGTGCATTTTAGAGGACTGCTAGGTGATCACACGTTTAAGCCATCATTAGAAGCGGAGCTCATTTGAGGGGAAAAGGCTGCGTATTCTAAAATGAGCTCGCTTCAGCCTGTTTTTGGCAAGTCAGACCGCTTTCATTTTGGCATTGGTCTAGTAGTTGGAGATAACACAGCATTGTTTGCATGTCTGATCTTTCAGGCACTAGCTCTGAAGGATTTACTTGCCTGGAAGGATAACATTGTAAAAGAAAAAACAAGAAGCCAGGCCTTCTCGGCGGTAGCTCCTTGCCTCTGGAACAATCTTCCTCCGGAGATTTGCGTGACCCCTACGCTGGGTATTTTTGAAAACCAATTAAAAACATGGATGTTTAAGCAGGCCATCCCTCTAGTCAATACTTGATCTTTTTTCTTTCTTTCTTTTTCTTTATTTTTCTTTATTTATTTATTCTTTCTTTCTTTTTCTTTCTTTTTCTTTATTTATTTTTTTTCTCTATTTACTTTTATTTTCCCATCTTGTAGAATTTGTCATTTAATGTAATAATTTTTCTGTTATATTTATTTGTTGGTTTTATATATGTATTTGGACGCCGCCTAGAGTGATCGCAAAGGCCAGATAGGCGGGAAACAAACAAACAAACAAACAAACAAACAAACAAACAAACAAACAAATAAA